CTATTTGGAAATCCTGAGTTCTGCCATTCACTTTTCTACACATTCTTACAGCATATAARTGATATGTAAAGGATAAGTGAAACAAATTATTTTGCAGCTCAGTAGCTCAACATTTTGTCTCTGCCRGGTACAAGTTAAGCACAATAATTTATTGCTGCTTGTGTTTTTACATAAATTTTCCTTTCCAAATCTGTGCTACCCTGTCTTTGTACTTCTACATTTTTGGTTTTACCTAACAGCCTAATAAAACTTCCTGCTCTTGTTTTCCTGTAAGGTTATTTATGCTTATAAACTATTTAGAAGTGCAGGTAAGTGCAGGGCCCAGGAGAGCATCAACAAGAGAAGYAACTTCTGATTGACCAGCTAGATATATAGAGCTCATTTAACTCTTTGTAAAAGCCTTAAGAGACAGATGCCTCTCGTATTGTCATGACATGTCAAAACTCTCCCGTCAAACAAGGAGCGCTCTCCTTTTTCTGCTCAGTTGGGCATGTTTCTTACAAAGATTTTCAAAATACAGGTATTTCCAGCCACAGCAAACTTGCTGGGCCTGCCCATCGCCCGCCTTAGTCCCCCTGCAGCAGCMCAGGCCAGCAGGCAGCTGCCCACATTTCCAGCAGCTTTGCTGACTCCTTTAAAGCCTTTCTCTTGGTGCAGAGACTGCATTGCTTTGAAAATGGGAGATTCAGGAGTATTAAAAATAACTCAGCCTCTTGATCATTATCTGTTCTTTCCTACATAGCTTCCTTTATTTCAGTGAGAGATGCAGCCCCTTGCCTATTTACAGCACAGCAGAAGACAGCTGTGGTCCTGTGACATCCTAATGCTGTCAGCCCAGTTCTTAGACTTCCAATAGCTCAGGTTACCTCCTCAGTGTGTTCTTGGTCTCTGCACTTCCAGACTGCAACAGCTGGAAAGTGCAGCGTATCACCGKCTGTTGAGAGCTAGCAAGGTACCAGCAGGGCCAACGCTCCTGRGGTAGGGGAGGTGACAGCTGCAAGCGTCAGCAGCCATCAGGCAGGTGAACTCAGTGGCTAAGATAGTTGATAAATTAGTACAGAGTGCACTAGGCACTACAGTAACCACTGGCAGTGTCAGATACGTCAAGTTAACTATGCAAGTGCAACAAAAACAGATAAGTTGTTCCATATCCCTCCTCTCTGAGCAAGCCTGCCAATACAGTAAAGAAACACACGTGGCCACCTCCACAGACACTCGGCAGATTAACTCCCACTCTAAATTTTCATCTGAGAGCTCACTTCAACATGTCTCCAACTTTTTGCCTAGGCAGAAAACATCTTTGGCTGTAAAACTTTTATTAAGGCCAAGTGCAAGTGAAATGGACTCCGTGTTTGTTTCCATGACCATGTTTACATGCCCTCTCCTGTGTACAACCATGGGAGCACATGCTCTTTCTGCTTTGTGCACAACTCTATCTAGATTTGCAAACTTTTCTGCACTTCTGTTGAGCATCTCTCTTATTGGGAAGTGAGACATCTGTGCCTGTTTTGCCAAGACGCAGGTCACCTCACCCATAGCTGGCCAGGGATCCATTCAGGTTTCAGATATAACTGCAGAAATACAGCTATGAAGAACTGCACTATTGTAGGATGGAAGATCACGTGGCTCTTTTAATAGCTTTTATGATATACAAGTCATTAGGGGATTCAGAAAGCAAGAGAGAAAACATGAAGACAGAACCAGTCCCTACTTTAGGACACACTAAGATGCCAGAAATCCTAATGGAAGGAAATCCTAATGGAAGCTAATCATTACCTAGCAAAGCAGTATGCTCAAAGCTTTTTTTTTTTTTTTTTTTGATTCTCTCTCTAATGTTCCTCAAAGCTGATAGCATCTATAATGTTGTTCCTGATTTGTTATGTGAAAGAAAGCAGAAAATAGATTTGCTGTATGTAGGAGGCAAAGAAGTTATATGTTGTGTAAGAACATTGTGTTGCAGCAAGAAAAAGCTTCTACAGCAAACCTGCAGTCCTCATGAAAGCCTGAATTTAATCATACGTCTACTTGCAATCTTTGAAAAGCAAGTTATCACCTTGCTTCCTAGGCACTGTGTCATCTCAGAGGCAGGAATCCRAACAATCCTGTCTCTCCTCCTTCCAGGTTACGCTGCTCCCAAACTGCACGTGCCTGGAATTAAAGGAATGCTGAGCACGGCCTGTTGCAGAGAGCCCCACGCCGCTGCCCAGGCCCTGCTGGCACYGATGCCCTTACCTGCCTTCTCATCACATGCGCGGTGCCCGACGGCCCAAACGGGCGCTGGGGCGGGTAGAGGCTGCAGGCTGCCCTATGGAGCAGCAGCCTTGATGGCTGGGTGACCTCCTGCTCGTTCAGATGGGATGCACCAGTCGTCATCCTTCCCCATCCTCTGCTTCTCCCTCGTGTGCTGGGGACACTTGAGCAGGCTGCAGCATCTGTCTATAACATAAAGCATCCATTTAAACTAAACTTGACTCTCTGTGGCTGTATTGCCTGTTTTATAGGTTGGGCCTTTCACAGAAAGCTATGTTGTCATGGGATCAAGGTACCAGACCTGGAAGTGTCATCACTGGGGAGGAAAGCTCCCACTGAAGCTGGCACTCTTTCATTTTGTAGATGAGAAACAGTGCTTTGAATCCAGTATAGGGACAGAAACATAATCCTGCTTCTTTGTTTATATCCACTTTGTATAGTTACTTCTTTATACGTTTACTTCTGATAAGTTCATTAGAAGTTTTAATCTTCTTAAAGACTTAATCTTGTCTTTTGGACTTAATCTTGTCCCCCACCTGCAGGGGAAGGCATCCACATATGAGTGCGAGTCTGCTGGCTCTTCCCCGGGTGCCTCCACAGTCTCAGTGCGGGAYGTGGTACCTCACTTGCCACCTATTTCTGCACGCTGCTACTTCAGCCTTTGCTTCAAGCCACAGACCCACAGTGGTCTGGCAAAGCCCCCGTGTCCTACAGAACTAAGCATGGAGGGAGACATTTCGACTGTCACCTACGGAAAGTGGAAACTAAATTATCATGGGTATTAATATTCTAAAAATTGGCTGCAATTATTTTTAGGTTTTGCTCAGAACGGAAACCAAACTGCATTCACAGCATCCACAGCATCTGCAAATACTACAGAAACAGACAGTAATATGAATCTTCCATCTTACTGTGTCAATACACATCATTATTCATCATGGATACTACTTACATACCCATGTACTGCAAAGTAAAAGAATTCTTTCATCCTGCTTTTATCATTTCCAGATAAATCATAGTTTTTCTATTTCCTATAGTCAGCAGATCAGGCTCACAATTTACCTTCTAAATGACAGATAATTCTTTTAAACACATTGAATTATTTTTTCCAGGTGGTGGCTCAGTTAAAATTAAATGTTACTATTTCATTTTGCTCAATAGTACAGTGCCAGCACTCAAGGAAAGGTGACCACTTTAATGGAATATTTTCACTAACTTGAAAAATCTCATTTAATCCAAAGATTATCAATTGACAATGTGATTTATTTGGAGAGAGCACTGGCACCCAGTGTCACTTTTACACTGGGACAGCAGTGTAAAACATAACATAACATAAGGGGCCACTGAGAGGAGAGGCTGTGGTTAAACCACTGGCCATGGATGGTCTCTGCGCTCCAGCACAAACACTCACAAATCACAGCTACACATCAAAATTGCAGCGTGATGAGCGGATAAGTGTTCGTGTGCTCAAGGCTGGAAAGGCCCTCACGAGCTCACTTAGCCAACCTAAGTCCTACCCATTCTCCAAAATCAGGTCAACATTGCAAAGTTTGAGGAATTTAATATCTGTGCCGTGATTCCCCCGCAGCTGGAGAAGCAGCTGAGGCTACGGCCTCCTTCCCCACTYACGTCAGCGGATTCTGGTCTCCCACAGCACGCACCAGGCCCCCCACGCTGGCTCCAAGAGACTCCCCATCCCCACGGCTGCACCTGCAAGCAAACAGCTAGGCAAGATGTGAGGGGAACGTGAGGAAGGAGTCTCCTACAAAAGCAGTGCTCATCACTCCTGCTGTAACAATAAAATGCTCCTGGAGCCAACAGGCACTTCCTTACTGCGGGGAAGCTTTTAGCTTTAACTGGATAATTATTTCATATGAAATTTGTTTCTTTTGTGTACAGAGAGTCAGTTAAAAAATGGTGTTAATGTGAAAGACAGAGAWAGGTCAAAATTAATCCAAAGTAATAACTACAGGACTTCACTGGATAAGGTCCAGGAGTAGCCACATGCTCCAAAATTAACTGCATGCTTAGGTACTATGCTGAGTGAAGCTCACATGGATGAATGAATCAAAATCCAGGATCCTCATGTGTATTTGATGAATGYACAGCAAATGAGCTCAGGTAATTGCTATGGGCAGGAATCACCTACACTAAAGCATCAATGATCCACAAAATTCAGGCTCTAGAATTTTACAACTTGGTAAAAAAAAMCAAGCAAATAAGCAAAAGCCCTCAAAATATAGGTATAGTTATTAGGGACATAGGGATTTGCTGTCAGCCCTTACACGCTGCTGCTTAGTCTTACTGTGGAACAACAGTGACTCCCAAAGACCAGAAGTATAATTCTTTCAGTTCTTTTATTTGTCAGTACTTCATCTCACTCATCTGACAGCCTATCTATCTTTCAGAGCACATTCTAGCTGACAAGAAAATTTTGATTTAAAATTTAAATATGAAGGGACTAGCTAAGAAACGTCATTGATTTTTCCCCTCAGAATATTCTGCTCTTGTAAACAACAACAATAAAATCTTACTGACAACAAGGAAAAGGCCTGATATGCTGATCCCTGAGACCCTGAGGACATCTGGAAATAGTGTTGGAAATATTTCCATTATTGCTATACTAACTATATGAACTGATCCTACGCCTCAGAGCAGCAAAAACTACCTGTATTATTTTTCATAAGTGATTGTGAAAATTACTCAGAGTAAAATTAACATTTTCCCTCTTTTCTGCTATCCTGAAACAGGTCCTGATTGTTTCAGTTCCAAGAACCTTGCACTGCAAGCCCAGAAAAAGATCCTGAGTAAAATGGCAACCAAAACCATGGCTAACATGCTGATTGATGACACCAGCAGTGAAATCTTTGACGAGCTATACAAAGTAACAAAGGAGCACACCAGAAACAAAAAAGAAGCTCATAAAATTATGAGGGACCTGATTAAAGTGGCAATAAAAATTGGGATCCTCTACCGAAATAATCAGTTCAACCAAGAAGAGCTGGAAATTGTAGACAAGTTCAGGAAGAAGCTGAACCAAACTGCCATGACAATTGTCAGTTTCTATGAGGTAGAATACACTTTTGACAGAAATGTTCTTGCAGAACTTCTGAATGAATGCAAAGATCTTGTGCATGAACTAGTAGATCGGCACCTGACACCAAGATCCCATGGGCGTATCAACCACGTCTTCAATCATTTTGCAGATGTGGAATTTCTGACTGCCCTGTACAGCCTTGATGGGGATTGTCGGCCTTACCTCAAAAAGATTTGTGATGGTATCAACAAACTACTTGATGAGAAAGTCCTTTGAACCTTCACTTAAAGAAGCCAACCAAAAACTTCTATCTGTACCTGGCCACTCTTCATGAGCTGTGATGAGCATGTGGGCTTCCTTCTCACCATTCTCTTAGCACAGTCTCCAGCAGGAGCCAGAACGTGCTCACTTGGCTCATGATGAGGCAGAAAATTTAAATCAGAAAGCTATCAATTTAATGTTTTGTTCACAGAAAAAAATCAATTTTTGCAAGGAGTGGAGTGAAAGTTTGCTGGTATACGCTTTTCAGAAACAGATTGCTACTGACCACAGTCTTAATAGCTTTGTGTTGGAATTCTAGTATGTGAAATGAAGCTAAACTCAAATGCATGGCTGTGTGAAAATAGATGGGAAAAGGCAAGAAAGCATGCATAGAATTTATCCTACGCTGCCCCATGTGTACATTTATTATTGCCACAGCAATCGAAAAGGCTGAAGACAAAGTAGATCTACAAAGGATTAAGCTCGCTGTTTTCTGGAATCAATGCAAGAGTGCACCTCTGATTTTCTATGATTTTTCATATGATGCAAGTCTAACAGTAGCTATCAAGTAATGCAAATTGAGTAGAAGCATGAGAAAGTTTTAAAAGCTGCTTTAACAAAGCAATATTGCTTTTTAAGTTTTTTGCTTTATTCTTTTTAGTAAGAGAAACTTTCATTTTGATTTTGAAAAGCAGCTGAAGTGGCTGAAGCTCAGAGGTAACAAAGAAACCAGGTAAGGCAGAACAATACGGGTTTCCCCACTCTCAGGTTTTGTGTATTTGGTAACATCAAATGAGTTCAGGCTGAAAGCTATGGGGTCTTCTTATTGATTTCACTGTTTTGCCTGCCACAGCAAAGTATCCTTGGTGAAGATTTTGAATTTGTACTGCTAGTAAGTCCTCCTAAGAAACCACCAGTGATTTACCTAAGACACCAATGGATTTACAAAATAACATTTAAATCTCATGTCTGCAAAAGACAATATCAAGCCTAGGGATAACTTTGTGTAATGTGTCTATTATTCCATTTGTGCTTGCAGTAAAACACAGGAGTTGTGACACACAGAACTCAGTCTGCTAGTCCTGCTGTGCTATCTACTTGTAGTCTATCCACAGCCTGAATGTATACATTCTCATACACACTTTACAGTAATGATGAGTGCAAACAAACAGAAATTAGGAAAGAAAGAGACAGTGCCTAAAATACATAGAGATTTCTATAGTGTAACACCTGAAGAAAGATTCCCATTAAATAACCTGCACTTGCAGAACAACAGAAGACTATGTCCTTGCATTTAACAGCTGCTAATTGCAGCTCTGTTATTAACCCACAGTCTCTGGCAAGTCATAATCTTCCTGTGGCTCAGCATCACAGTCTGCAAGTCTTCCACTTTCAGAGTATTCTGAAATTATCAGTACACATCAAGTAACAGCATAGGTCCTTGCTAACAAACTCAAAACTAAGAATATGCCAGTACTAAGGCAATGCTTAAAGAGGTCTGAACTAAACTATGGGATGCTATTTGTGCTGGAGGAGAAGGGTAAACAGGCTGGTGAGTCACCTCAAGGACAGTTTTACTGTGGGGTAAGCTTTTTTTAAGAGTCATTTTGCAAATTACCTTGATATTGTACACCTAAATCTGCACTTAGAAGTACTAGAGAAAATGTTTTCATCAAACAACCTGTCTGAGCCAAAGAAAGTACATTCAAAAATCCCTTCTCTCCTAGTCCTGCAGGCTCACCTCCATCTACTGGCACTTCAGTATCATGTAGCACCTCCTTTTAGGTGACATACAAATAACAGGTCATCTTGAAGGCAGGAGGTAAAAGTATCACATACCTTATAGAGACAGACATACTTTAAAATTGCCAAAGGGGAAAAAAAAAAAAAAAGTATTTGAAAGCTGTTTTCTGTGTAAGAAAATCTTCCAGAATTGATACCCATTACCTCAGGATAACAGAAATCTGTATTTTCCCATTTCAACTCTGCTAAATACTATGGTTGTAGAAAAACTTGAAAATGTTAATCTTATTCATCTGCTCTTCCTCACCTGGAAGACCTATGTTGCATCTCTTACAACAACAATTCAAATCTTAATATTGCACTTGCCTTTATATAGCAAGGAATACACATACCTGGATTGCATATTCACTGGGGTTGGGCTAGAAGCACTTGCAGGTGTTTCAGGATAACACATTTTGCAACATAGGAAGCAAAGGCACAGCCAGAGCAGTTTGCCAATTTCCCGTCTATTTCCTATGAAACTGTAAAACATACATTTAGTAGCAATGTATGTGGACTGTCCCTTTGCAGCATAGCACAATAACTGTATATGTACATTTGGGGTTAGAAATCCATTAAGATTTGCCTTTCAAGGCTGCAAGTTTAGACATATGCGAGAGCCATATTTATAAGCACTGGTAGCTGCATTCTTCCCAAGAGCATGTACTTGTCAATTGATGCTTTTGAACAGTATTTATTGTATCCAACATACCTGTCGCAGTGCACATGTCAGATTATGGGTGTTCGTTTCACTTGTGGCAAACAAATATCTAAGTTCTTTTTTTTCCTTTAAAGTCAGAAGAGACATGAATCAATATTCAAGATATCCAAAAGAAAAGGGATATCCAGCGTATGTGATTTTCTTTTTATGTCAATATTATATCAATATTCAGATTCTGCTATTTTAGACAAACAGCCAAACATTTGTCATTCTATTTATAAATCTGAGTAGCCTTAAGGAAGGAAAATGTTTTAAAGTATTTCTCATATTTGCATATCCTGTATAATCATTGTTTACTTTTGTACTTGCAGCTTGGTATGTAATAACATTGCTAAAATGTTAGCAATGTTCAGGTCACTCCAAGTATATGATGCATTATCATGTTTGTGGATTAAAAACAAAAAGCGTGATTACTGCCCCTTCTGTTTCCTTTTATTTATTCTACCTTCCAGTGTAAAAGATCAGTATTCACTTAATCCACAATATTCAGTATGCAGCTTTCTCTTTGTCTCAGTTTATAGCCCAAACACTTTATCGAATATAATTGAAACTCTACKCCAAAGATGACTATTATATTTTCCTCAAAAATGTTTTTACAACAATTATTGCTTTGGGTTTGAAGGCTTCACAAATTCACAAATTGATTTTCACAGTCACCTAATGGAAAAGGCTATCAAAAATAGAGAACTGGGAAGACAGAGAACCTGACTTTTCAGATTTGCCACTCTAAATGTTCAACCCAGTGCTCTTTAGAAAAAGAACAACAACGTAAGAAAAAAAAAAAAGAACTTTTAGGAAAAAGAGAATGATACAGCAAGTTCAAGCAACCCAAGGGGGAAATGGTCAGTTATCAACTACATAAAAAGCAGAAGCAAGTGCAAGCCCTGTCACTTCTAGGCACCTGCAACACTCTCACACACGAGACCCTCTCTCCCTTCTCACAAGGTCTGCTTTATCTGCTAAAGATCTCACCACATCTGCAGCAAAAGCAGCAGGAACCTGACAGAGGCTCTTCCAGCACAATAGCACCTACAGCTCTGGCCATCTCGGGTACCAAGCGTGGAGGCTCTGTGGGGACAATACAAGTTCCTATATAACCATGTTAATGAAGATGACCGTGATGCCCACCCACAGCAGTAAGAAGAGAGTGTTTGTATAATCCAGGCTTTGACATCTTCAATTCTCAACCATAAAGGTTTACAAACCCAAGATTTGGTGAAGAGGAAGGGGTAGATAGGTAGATGGACAGAAATTTGGGCAGTTCAACAGTTCAAGAGAAAACTTTTTCAGTTATGTATTTGGTTTAACTTAGCTAAATGTTGGAAAAAAGGACACATCCCTGACAGACTTCAAATCCCTGCCCTAAACATGGAAATGCTCGAACTTACCAGAATGGTTTAATATCAACAAGCATAAATTTTCTTACTCCTATTCCCAGAAAAGACAAACTGCTTTGGCTTGAAGATTTCAGGATTTGCAAACAACTCACGTGGCAATTATACTGGAAGCAATTAAAGATTGGCACAAATGGAGAAAGCTGGAAACTATTTTAGAACGAAAGTCTTAAGGCAATTTTAGTAAGTGGTGCTTTGAGCCATGCTGCTAGTAAAACATTGCTCTCAGATGAATTTTATGAATCATATCATGGCAAGACAGTATTTTTTGCTTCATCACTGCCAACTTTATTGAACAAACAGAGAAATGTTAGAAGTTCAAAAACACCCTCAAGGGAGTGGCCACTTTTAGCTTCTTACTGAATTTGTATGGGAACCACAGAAGAATACGCAGTTATTTCTAAATGTCAGGAAATATTTGTACAGAAAAGCACATAAATGACCAACCCTCTCCCCTCAGAAAACCCCCAAAGGTAAGAGCTGATTAAGGCTATCGTGGTGACAGAACCAGAGCAAGTGTCAACTGCATGACCCAGGCAGGGCTCCCCCTCTTTTTTCATGCAATACTATGTACCTCAATGCCAGAAAAAGACAATGCAYTTTCATGGCCACATAAAAAATACTGTTTTCCATTCTGAAAAAAGTTGCCAATAGGACTCCAAAATAAATCATTTTCTTTCCAGTATTTAGAAGCCAACAGGCAATGTAATTTAAGGCCTACTATCAGAATAATCTCAAAACACTGCAATCCATCACAGAGGGTCACTTTAGTTCCTTAGAGGGAATACTTTACAGAAAGTAATATTATGGACCTGTTTTCTTATTCAAATGCTCTTAAAAAAAATGTGGATCCAAGATCATCACTTACCTGCTGATTTCAAAATGTCCAGAACCCCCAGGCACCCATGGCACAGTGGGACAACTGGAGCCTCCTGGTACATGGGCTTTTGGTCAAAACTTTGCTGCTAACGTGGCAGTTCAGGAAGGTCCGTGTGCTGTGAGCAGCCTCTTATTGCTTCTTGAAAATAAACTTTCACATTAACAGAACTACATGCTCTGTTCATCCTAGCTGACATCTGCCAATTTTATTTCCCTTTTCTAGAAAAAAAAGGTTAACGCTGCAAGGCCTAATTAGTCGAAGAAAAGTAAATGGGAAGAAACAAGTCACACATTCCTTCCGAAATCCACAAATTCCCTAGTAGCACTGTTTTTCCTATCATGCTCACATGTTGCTTATGGAAGAGCTCAGAAGATTAACTAACTTCTAAAGGATTTTCAACATAAAATTAGATGCAAGAGTATTTCTTTGTAGAGCTAGTTAAGCAGCTCTGTTTTATAGAGACATCTGAACAATGCATCAAAATGGGAGGGATTCCCAGCACTGATTTCCAGAAGTTCAAGGACARGCAGAACTTTCCACCAGCCACCAGTGCAGAGCAGTGTGTGCTCCTTACAGACTGTGTTACAACCCACCTGTGGCCTCACAGCGTGGAGCAGAGTGGCGGCCCCTCTATTCCCAAACTCCCGATTCCTCAAAACTGCAGGATGCCACATGCTATGTTAACACTGCACTAGGATATTCTATTGCAGTCAGCAATACCTCAAATCCCACAATCTGATCGTACTCAAAAAAATCCACCCCATGCTGGTTGATGTGACGTGGCGCTCACTAAACGCTATTGCAAAGATCTCCAGTGTTTTCTTTCAGGCCTTTCCTTCAGGCCTTCAGTTGAAACACGTGAGATGAGCAAGGCTTCCACAACGCTACACTCATCACTGCTTAGCTGCAGAGAGAAATATTTTAAGAGTTAAGTTCTACTGGAATTATAGAAACACCACCACATGTGGCAGCAAAGAACATTCAGTGGAAACTAAACAGAAATTTTTATTAAACTTGATTTTATTAAACTACAAGAAATGGAAAGATGGTGATAGATTAAAAGGTTTGCTGGACAATCTGACAATAAAGACTGTATAACAGGTACAAGTCCCTGCAAAAGCCTTTATATGACACTAGCATAAAACTTGATTATGTTCTGAGAATCTGCATATTTACAGCTTAACACACAGTATTCCTTACAGCGAGAGAGGTTAAGAGCAGCACATGAACAATTGAAGGCATTAGTGTCTTTGTGGTTATTTTTAAACACAGACAAGACCTCATTGCTGAAACTGTAGAAATGCATCAGCCAGAAACAGATACTTCTGTAACATCTCACATGAACATGAAAGTCACAAGTCTGATTTACCACCAGAGAAAGAATTCACTGGAAATTTTTCCACTACAAATCAGTTTTCACTTATATAAAACCCTCAAGAAGCATTAAGTAAACATGATTAAAGTAGGCAGACCATTAAATATATTTACATGTTCAGTGCACTTCAAATGCCTCAATAAGAGGGTACTGAAACAACAGTGAAAAAGGAGCTTTCCTTATGTGATTGTAATCTGTGACAGTGCAAGAAGCAGTTTTGCTTTAAGACTTGAAACTGCCAAAAGCCACCCAGAAAAACTGCAAAAACATAAAAAAAAAAAAAGAAAAATTGCTAGGATGTTACCAAAGAAAAGCTGAAAAGCCAACAGCACAAAAAGAACAAAGAAAACCCACAGCACTTAACTAACAGCACATGAATATCATATTCTTACTCCATGAGCTGTTAGCAAAACATTAGCAAATTAACAGAATATTTTCCTTTAAATGRGAGCTTATCAGGCCAGAAATGATAAAACTGAAATGCTACAAAAAATTCCCTTAAGAATTAAACACAGAAAGAATAAAGTGGTGCAGATTCTATTTATACAATACCTATGAGAAATATTTGTGCAGTCTTAAGTTTATAAATAACAAAACATAGCCAGTTATAAATAATGGCAAATAGTATTAGAAAAATACTATTTCATGTGATGTCTAAATAAATTAAAATGACTAGGTTTTTGAGCTTGTGAGGTATATCCAGACACATTCAGCATTCACACCGCACTGATTTAGATCTTTATGCCTTACAACAGTTCCTAGCCACACACCCACAATACAGCCAAATCCCAACCAGTCAAAGGTTTGCACAGTCTTATAAGTGAACTACTAAAGAATTAGATTTAGGGRAAAAACAGCAGTTTCCTCCCTAGAAACTGTATTTCATGGATAGGGATATTATCCAAATWAAGCATACAGGATTAAGGCTGAGTACTCTGAATGTGCCCACTCAGTGGCACCCAACTACCCAGCTCAGCCATCTCAGGCTCTACTCACGTGAAACTCGTCTTTAGAACATGCACTGAGACTCAGTAGCTGTTGCAGACCCCTTGGCAAAGGCAACAGGATGAACGAGAGGCAGGAAGGAATCCGTGCAGAYAGGAACCAACTCGAAGAGTCCTGGGTGATCGTCCCCATGAAGCACTTGGGAACAACCTCCTCTTTACAGTCTGCCTTCCACCAGGACCCTAGCTATTACCACTCAATACCTACATGGTGATGCCAGAGATCATGGGAAATGTATTACGCACTGTAATATTTTAATTATCTTCACATCACACATTTGTTCGCATATAAGGTACTTCATACAACAACTGATACACGTCTTGTTGCTAGCAGTGTTTAAAATAMAGCTTTAGAAAAACTGTTAAAATAAAGTGAGAAGATCCTGATAAATGTTCAAGTCTGAATCTCATAACAAAGATAYGTTTTCCTTAAAATGATATTATACAGTTTCTATGAGGAATGACTGTTGGCATCTATAAAAGTTCTATAATAAAAATAAATACTTTCAGTCATTTACAACAAAAGTAAGAAATATACATTTCACTTAAACAGGTAACAATACTTTAGCAGATGACTTGTCAGTGACTGTACAATCCTGAGCATGGTTTTCCAGGCATACTTTACATCATCATTTGTCTCCACAAGTCCACAYGACATACGTCAGTTCAAGAAACCTTTTATACTTCTTAGAATCAGTATCTTAATTTAGCTTTGGTAATTATCGTGCAGCTGTGTAAATCTTCCATTTGATTTTCATACACCAAGAGATTAAGGCAGGCACTATTATTATTAGGATTCTTCCATCACCTTTTGGCACTGATAGAGCAAACTATCTGGAAGAGCAGAACAAGGCGATCTGAACCACAAAGCCAGCATCCCTGCACGAATACGACAGTGCAGCAGACAGGGCACGGATGGAAGCAGCTGGCATGCCAGTATTCCCTCATTACCTTAAAATAACAAGCCATGGACAAATTGAGAGAAATAATAATTAGATGTAGCAACTGTATAGATGTACAGTTCACAAGAACTCTTTTCAAAGCCTGTTTCTTCTGTTCTCTTCTCCTCTTACCTCCTGCTTCTTTATCACCCAAAGTCATGCCTGCTGCATGCAACCCTGGCTTCGTACCTTCTGCCATAAATTCTAACCTCCAATTTTAATCCCCTCCAAAACTCTTCAGAAACAGTGGTACAAATAGCCTGCTGCCTGTAAAAAATTGTTCTCTTCTGTACACTAATATTGGTACAGATATTTCAACCTTCACACAGACACCCCCAAATAAGGCCATTAAAATCCACAGCAAAATGCTCCTGGGTAAGGGTTAGCATGTCCCCAAAAGTAGACTGTCATGTACCTGCTGCCAAGCACTTATTTTCCTGTAACAATCTGCAGATGGTAAGCAACCTTGCAGTGTAACTTGACTCACCTATAATATCAACTATATGTAGCTTTAACTTCTGTTGCAGTGTATTCAGAGTTGCTGAAAAAGAATCTTGAGAAGATGACATTTTTAAATTCTGTTTCACATCATTGGAGAGGGACAGCCACAACTTCCCAAAGTCTTCTGTAGTCATTTCCATTGGCCTAAAAATAAGTTGACCACAAATCTTARTTAAGACATATTATCCAGAATATACTTGGTCTTCCAAATAAATCTGTATCTAACAACAAGCAGACAACAGTACAAGCAAAAACCAAATGCAACTTTGTTTAAACAAGCCCCTACACTCTTGCCAATGTAACATACAAGTTTCCAGTTTTCATCTTAGAGAACATTACTTTTTAGTTTAGATCATTTGATCAAAATAAATAAAAGTCAACTACCTTAAGATGCTTGTTCAACAATACAGAATTAAAATGAAAGTTAGAAATAAATGAATACAAATAAGTTTGGAAAACAGAGTGAATTTCACCATGTCAGAAAAGTCACCAAACAGAAAGATCTATCTTAAAAATAAAATCTCTTCGTTTTCTTACTGAAAAAAAAAAAAGTGTTCAAATAAATATATATGCACACGCACACACACACGTAATGGGTCAAACCCAAAGKGGTTTAGCTGTTGCTATATTCTAAAACAATATACCCTTCTTATCTTTCTGTTCACTGAGTTCTAATAATCTCCTCAAAAAATTATTCTTATTTTAAGAATATTCTAAACTGCAAATACAGTCAACATCTTTACAGAATTTGCATTTTYTTCTGGAATTCATCTTCCCTCCCTCCACTTCTAAGTGTGAAAATAAACATTCATCATTAGCAGTAATCTCAAATACACTGAAATCAGCTGCTCATAGATTAAATGTTGTATTTCACACTCAACATTCCCTGCACTTGTCTAATATTTATTTAACCACACACATTTTAGAAAACAGCAGCTAATTCTAGTTACCTGATGAAGTCCAACAATGATAAAATGACTGAAAACTGAAGACGGGTTTCTGTCTCGGACTGGTAACTAATGGAGCCAGAAAGAATTCCCTGTGTACAGATTTTGTCCATCTGCACACATCGCTGGCAATGTTCCACGCTCTGAGCTTCTATCACAGAGAAGTGGTAGGCTGGACCCTCCAAAATCTATACCCATTAAAAAAGTGGAATATTCATGTGGAATGTTAAATGAGTTACAAGGAATAGAGAGACAAGCTATGATCATCTTCTATAAATGCCATGACAGATTTGGTACAAGCCCAAAACCAATGGAAAAAAAATAACTGTAATCCATTAGCGATTCTAAAATGAACATTTTGGTTAATTCCCTTTGTTTGGTTATCACTTTTAGAGTGCCTTCATGTTTTTATAGTTGTCACTGATTCATTAACCATTGCTAATTAGCTTTTAAATTATTTACGTAAAGCTTCTATTCATTACATGYTTTCATCAAACTTATTTATATCACCCAATATATTTAGCTATTACATTGAAGAAAATACTGTGCAGTTAAACTTGGATAAWATCAAGAATTCCAAATGAATGTGAACTATGCTTGAAACAGTTTCTTACCTGAAAATGTTCTGCTTCTTCAAACACTAGGTTCACAGTATTAAGTGCAGAAGTGCTTTTATTTGAAATAAACATTGCAAGCAGTAGAGAGTCATCTGTCCACACCTTGCATGAATGCAGAGCTAGATCACCATTCTGACTAAGTTCCACTACTTCAGAGTGAGGCTGCTCTGCTAGTTCTCCTGGTAGGGAAGGGGCCAACAGAGTTTTACTGGCACTTTCACATTCAGCATTTGGCAAAGGATGAAAAATCTCAATATTATCAGCAAACAGAGAGGATGATGACAGTCTACTACCTAGAAGTTYGTTCTCCGGCCCATGCTTTAAGGACTGAGGGTTTTGAGATGCTACATTATCTTCCACGGTATCTGAAGAACACWGAGGGGCTTCCCTTAACCTTGCATGTTCAACACCCTCATGGCTTTCCTGGTTACTAGGTAGTGTATCAAGCAAGGGATCAAGGGCCAAAGCAGCACTATTTTGGATGTCGTCTGGTGTCTCTTCAGTATTTTGAGTTTCATTCATCTTTGATTTTCTTTTGAACTTCTGAGTAGCCATGTCTGCCTTCCCCATCTGAAAAGGGGAAGAGAAGTGAAAATTAAAAGGTTTCTTTTGCCTCTAGGGACAAGCTGCATACTTATTACCAGAATGAAACAAAGAGCAAAGAAAAAAAAAGAACAATAATTCAGATGACAAAGGCAAATGCATTGTAAAAAATTTAAAGAATATAGCAACAGGCTTCTGTTCAATTTCTTATAGGGCATGGGGAGAGTGTGCAATGCAAGAATGACTTTAAGCTGTATAATTCAGAAAAGACACTRTTAAAAAGCATCTAATTAGAACAGCGGTAAATGCCAACATTTGAGCTAGCTAATATAATTAGGCCAGTATTAAAAAGATAACCTAATGGCRAATTCCTTAACTTGCTGTATAATACCATAAAAAAGATCACCTGCYTAGTTTCACCAAAATGAATATTTCAATGTAAATAAAGATCAAATCAGTAACTATAAATAAGGGTGTAGAGAAACTTCAAACTGGTGCATCAACAAAATAAACACACTTACCAGACTGACACCAGCATTCGACCCTAGTCCAACAAACAATGTTGATGCTAACTGCTGTTTCTCTTTTTCTTCCTCGGTGAGGCTGGCAGCTTGATCAGCCTGGGACACAGGCGGATCAGACACATGCCCTGCCAATAAGCTGCCACAAGGAACAGTCAGAGGTTCATCTTCTTTCCCTGTTTTGTTTTCCTTTTTGGGGAGATAACCTTCTTTTCCCCAGAGTTTCCTTACTCCATCGAGTTTCAGACTATTTGTCCTAATAAAGTAAAATAAAAATACATCACAAAGGTCAGAGGTTGATTTCAAGTTCAGTTGTATTTTTTACTTTCATGTAATGAAGCACCAAAGAGAGACATGATACTGACAAGAACATAAGCTTAAATGCGCTTCATTTCAAAGACAATTCAACTTACTCTTTATGTCCTGTCTCAGCACTATTACCAGATGTGTCCGAACCAAAAGATAAACCAGTGGGGGACTGTCTGCCAGTCAAGCCAGATGAAGATATACTTGAAGCAAATGATAATCCGTAAGGTTCAAAATTCAAAGCTGTAAAATAGACAGAATCTTTCAAAATCACAATGAAATGTAAACACTAAGAAAAAAAATGAAAAGAGATAGGCTGCACTGCTATAGTTCTCATGCTTCAGGAATCAATAATATAATGATTATCTGGGGAAATCATGAATGATGTTAATAACAACATCATTAATCATTCCCCCAGCTACAACATACTAAGAACTAGGACGTCTTTCTACAGCTATCTTCCACATGTGYTTTTGTTAGTTCTTATTAACATTAAGCTTACTGGACATAAGTGAGCACTATCAGCTGAAAAATATATAATTAGTCCTAGTATTATTGCAGGAAAAAATTCGAAGTTAAACTCTTTGTACTCAAAAATATCTCTGAAGTTTATGCACATAACATATACATGTATATATAACCTGACTTCAAGAAATTGTATTAGATGGACACTTAYGCTGTTTGTTTACATGCAACAGATAGTTTACCAGATGTCGAGTGAATGCATTTAAATCAATCACCTTTTTCCTGAGAAAGTTTCTCCTCCTGTCTCTGRTGATGAGGTTTATACGGTGCTGCACCATGGCCAAGTCCCTCAGCCACAAACCCATCCAGAAAAGATAAAGAAGCATCCACCTACAMAGAATTAAGGAAGAAAGAACAGAAAATTAAGAATATAGAACCATCAACAAAAAGAAAAATATCCATTCTGAAAGAACACTTCAGTGCAAAACCAGTATTTTTGAATATGAAGCATGGGATAAAAAAAAAAATCTGTACCATAATCAGTAAGACCTATTTTTTTTTTAAATTCTTTTTAAAACCAACATCACATTACTAAATACAATGGCTGTGTTTTTTGGTACAGAACATTAAAATTCAACCTAGATATCTGAAAGTATGTTTCCAAAAGTCTTTTTCAATGAGACTGAAAGACAAGTGCAAGCAGTCTTCACTGCCAAATATAATTCATTTTTAAAATACCTTTTTCTGAAATATTAAATCTCTGAGCCAAAGTTCAAGAGGAAGACTATGCAGCTATCTTACCACTAGGTCATTGCAACTAGCATCAAAAGGGAGCAAGTTTTTCATCAATACTTTGTCTTCATACAGATGCTTTAATTCAAAGGCATATTGCCTCACACAGGTATCTAGAGAGGTGCTGAATTCCTGGATTATTTTGTCCACTGTTTTAGAAGAGGAGGTGCGTGATGCTATTTTGGTGACTGCAGACATAATCCAAGCTTTTGTTTCAGGAGTAACAAAAGTCTTCTTCAGTAACCGGTGGAGTCGTGTCAAAATAATCTCTGGATCAACATCTGTAACAAGGCAGGAGTATTCTCCCAAAACCTATTCACAAAGAACAGACAAAATACACATTTATTCACACACAGAGCAGTGCTTTCAGTTTTGAAATTCAGGTAATAGTATAGTTTTGAAATTCAGGTAATAGTACAGTAACACAGCAAAAATCTACTTCACATTCAAAAAACATCAGAGATATTGATATAACTACATATAAAGTCTTGGAAACTACCTTTCTATCTGCAATAAAGTAAAAGCAAGAGATACAACGTAAAGGCAAGTACCTCTCATGGCTTTGGACTAAAGTGTTACAACTTTAAAGTTGTTTGCAGTAAAACCTGACCTGTAATTAAGAACAGCAGTCAGCACAGTTGTCTTCCCAAGCTGCTGCCAGTTTAATTGCTGGTCTATTAAGGACAAAATTACTTTCAGTAATACAAAAAATATAATCTCAGTTGAGCATCCAATTGCTTACCAAGGGTTACCCATTTTATTATAGAAAGAGAGGTCTGTTAAGCTTATACAGCTGATTGTCTCCAACCAAGATTTCTCAGAGACACACATTCTAAATCGTATTGTTTTGTGTAATATATGGCTTTTGTACATGGCTTCAGCAGACTTCAGATTCTAATATCTTAAAATCAAATAGCTGTCTTGAAAAGGAAGCTAAATATAGCAATAACATCCTTAAAAAAAAGACTTGTCCCTAATGCAGCCTCTTCATCTTCAGTGGAACTTGAAGCTTTCCTAGGTGCCACAGAACACAAGCCCTGCAACTGTGCAGTTAGCTAAAAGGCTGAACACACATTTCACAGCTGCATCTGGCCTAACTGTGATAAAGCTGGGAAGGCTCTCTGCAAGCAGCTAGTAAACCATTCTAACAGTCACCTGCCTTGAAAGGGAGATCTCCTTTTCCACTATCTAGGATAATCTAAGAAGTCCTTAGACAACAAAAACAGCTGCTAAAAAAACATCACAATGTCACAATTTCAAGTAAAAATATTCATGGTTAAAAATATATCTTAAAAACAACTGTTTATCATCAGAAACATTAATACCTTTCACAATTTTCTCACATTTATGTGTTCAATTTTTACTCTGTGCCCACCTTACCCAACTCATAACTTGCAGAAATTTCTGTGGATAGAATGCATCTTCCTCTTCCAATAAAGCTAAATAAGACTGCACAGCGTACAGCCGTAGCTGTTCATCTTCTTTTCCATCATCAAATCCTAAAGAGAAAATAATACATGCTTTGCCTGTAAAAGATGCCACTTGCATCAGATGCTTCAAATGGCATTTTAAAAAACAAAGACAGATGATTAACTAACATCTGGCTAACACTTGACAGCATCCAGTGAGTTACCTTCAGCCAGCAACCTCAAGAAGTTGTTGGGGATATCAGGATACACAACATCTCCTCCCACTGAGAACACGGCGTTCATTGTTTGGATGAACCACTCGTTGTCAGGGGCATACGTGTCCAGATGTTAAGGAATTAAGTGCTAAGGCATAATTTTTTATTCATTTTTTGTGTGCTTCCTAAAGAAACAAACTTTATACAAGTTACTGGTCCTACTTATGATCTAACCAATCAATATATCATGAATTGTGAATAAATGATAGAAAATTCCATCTCCTGCCCTGCCAATATCTAAGAGTATGGAGAAAGGCAAGAGAAAAAAAGGACAAAAGAAAAATCATTAATTCTTTCTTGAAGTGAAGAACATTCTCGCTACTGCAGAATAAAACACTGACACCTCTCCACTTTCAGGCAGAGATATAAGGCTTTCARGTTTTAATTTGAAAAATGGCTTTTAATGCCAAACTCCAAACCCAAAATATTTGAGAATATCTTTCACTTGTGAAATATAGAAGTGAAACATTCAGTGATTTTTATATGCATTTTCTTTTATTCATCCTTCGCATTTAAAATAGAGCAAAAGGCACAGCTGTAACATCTGCTATTACAGGAGATCAAGAAACAAGTTTTGACTTTTGGCTGAGCTCTGACTCTTAMGTCTTTAGGAAAATAAAAGGATATTTCTCAGCTAGTTCTGCTACTTTGCCAGCTAAGCTGATAATGGTATATTCTTCTTTGCTTTGCTTTAAGTAATCAAGCATCTTCTGAACTATGACAACTACATTCTGTCCATTTGTAATTCTATACAGAAGCTCTAAAGTCTGAAAGAGAAAGTAAAAAAACACTCAGCTGGCTCTGATGAGTCAACACAGGAAATTAAACTAAGATGCACTTTAGTCTGATGCCAAATTGAGCAACTGTTTTTATTTGTCAAGTCTCAAATGTAATACAAGGCCTATCTAAACTGTTTGTCACATAAATATTGTTCATAACTGCTGTCTCAAAATAACTGAGACATACTATGTCTTTAACACCATTCTTAAAAAAAACACACACACATTGTCAATCTTAAAAATTAACTCCATTTATGGTGTTTAGAAATTAACTGACCTCCCTTTTAATAATGGGATCAGGATGGTCCAGGCACTCAATTATTGTCATCTGGTGCTGAAGTGCCAGATTAGGATCCTGCTGGATAACATAGGTCAGTGCCTTTAAACCTAGAAAATTAGCATTTGCAAATGATAAAGGACTACATATCAGCATGATCAGGTTTAAAATTTCKTAATGAAGCCAGGTATCCTTACCTAAATATTTCAGATTAATTTTGGATGACAAAACAAATTTTCCAATGCACTTGGCAGCCTTTTCAAGTAGTTCAGACTTGGGGTGAATTGTATATATTGTTTGGACACATTCAAACAAGATGGCTGGGGCAAAAACAAATGATTAATGTGCATTAGATCGTTCTACAATGCAAACATTTTTAACAAACAAACAAGCACGCATCTTCAGAACATAAATATGAGGCCAAATGTGGTCCATTTATTATATTAGAGCAGATTACTACCTTACACCCAAGATATACTTATGAAGTCACCAGATCTGCATTTCATTTTTTAAGTATATATTCCATTCCTACACAAATACATTTTCTTTCTGCAAACAAAATATTCTCACTGCTCATCTAACAAAACTGCAAGTGTCTTAAAGACAGTAGTAATATAATACCGGGCCACTGAGTAGGTGGAAATGTACAGTCACCATTCTAGTACAGTTGTATTTACGTATTTCTAAAAGCAGAGGTATTCCTTCTTGCTCATTAACAGGAGAAAAAAATTGTGATCATTTTGGGGTGCAGCACAGAAATATGGCCAGAAATGTGCACTGAAATGCAATGCAGGCTATTTGGCATAGGGAACCAAAAGGAGAACAAGATAAACTACAAAATGGCATGAAGAACAGTTGTTTTTATGTAAGAATATTTGAGTCAACATACAACAGAACTGTTCCTCATGCCWTTTCGTAGTTTATCTTGTTCTTCTSTATTTCTCTGTTAAMCTACAACAGGTTATCAAGCCCACAGAGGGATTCAATCCTTAGGGAATCAAAAGTGAAAACAAAGCCTTGCCAATATTTTAGTGTATAAACATGTTTTAATACTCTCAGTGACCATGTTTCCACCAYTCCACATTCTAATAGCTTCCCAGAACATACAGCTCTTATCAGCTATCAGCTTCAGCAGCTATCACTGCAAGATATCCTAAGGTTACTAAATCCAGTTGCAAAGCACCTATTCACGTGAAAACAGGCGGAAAACCTATCACCTTTAGTACAAATATTTTAATTTTGTTGCTAACTGCATACAACTTTGTCTTGAAAGCTCTGAGAGACAAAACTGTGACTCTTCAGAAAGCCAATAGGCAACTAAAAAGAATTTGACACAGTATTTTCAGTAAGTCCTGATTTTGAAGCTACTATGGTCAGCCAAAACAACTTTAACAGAAAATCTGCCTCTCCTTAAAAACAAACCAATCAAAAACACTACTTATATGTTGAAGAAAGCTAGAAAAAGAAACTGAATTACACTCAACATAATTCTTTACAGTAGTAACTCAGGCAAACATTTTTTAAAAAGTTGCTCTAATCCATTTATCAGGAATTTAGATTTTCTTTTTCTTTTTTTAATTCCATCCCTTAACTGATTGCTATAGAGTGAGGTAGGCAGTAATTCACTTCTCAAGCATTAAAAAAATCACATCTGAAAAAGATTTACACATTAACAACGCAACTGCCTGCAACAAGGTAAAAACATACAATGAGCATTGACTTTGTATCAGAAAGAGTATCCACTCGTAATTACAATTCTCTCTGGTGTGGGATCATTGCAACCTTTTAGAAACAGTTTACTGTATTGAAAAATAACACCTACCCCCATCTTTGTGTAAATTCTCCACTTTGGCCTCTAAACTCTTAGCACACAAGGTTTTGTTGGTTTGTTTTGTTGTTGTTGGGTTTTTTTTTTTTTTGAATTTTAACAAAATATTCTATTTTCCTAAATACATGGATGTCACAATCTGAATATATTTAATGTCTAATGAATGCTTCTTCATGTATTATGTTCTCAAAGAGACTATTTTTCACTGCTTTACAGTGGTAGGGAAGTTGACACAATGCTTCAGAAAACACCTATCAAGGAAGCATCTCAATTTCCTCTCTATTCCATTAGTACAAGTACCTTGGCAATATTTATAGGGTTTTGCTATTAATCCACAAACTGAGTTTTTACAGTGAATCATCTCCCTTGGGTACTTGAGGAAAAATTAACAGGTGAGGAGGGGAAGGCCAAGATAAATTCAGAAAAATTACTCTTTTTTTTAATCTGAAAAAACTTCATAATACTGTTATTTTTCTTTATTTTGTTTCAGCAACAAATACAGCTTCCCCGCAGAAGAGGTAATAAAATAAACACARTCAAACCACGATTCTGAAATTTCAATTTAGACAAGTGCCAAAAATATCTTTTCATGGGCATCACAACACTGAACTTTGGAAAAGGAATTTTTATTAACTGTGGCTACTAGGAAAATATCTACCTCTAAAGAGCTAATGTCCTCACCCTTGCACAATTTTATTGCCCATCTTGAGACAAAGAACAGATTAATGGCTGAAGAACTAAGTCTTTCTAGTAGGGCTGTAGCACTATAATTTTTCTACTGTGATTTATTTCAACTTAAGCAAGGCTCAAAAAGAGCTTCCAAACAGGAGACAACTTCATGTATTCAAGGGCAAAGACAATGCAAACATAAAACAGGCTTTTCAGTCAGGATGATCTGATTCCTACTGAATATTTTTTCACTGATAAAACAGAACAGACACTTATCATCGACAGCTAAAAATACAACTGTTATATACAGAAAACATAACTAGCCTTTTCAGATGTACTGAGTATGTTTTAGTATGATGCACTACTAACATTTTCACTCTTTACAAATATTGATAAATACATACAATACTCTTACCCACCATAAGTAATATTATGATTTATCTCTGCTCTTCTTAAAGATTCATCCAAAATATCATACATCAATTCACTTGTCCTGTTTAAAATGAAAAAGAATGTTTAGAAAATTCTCATTTGCAGCATTAATATATTTCCATAAGGCTCTCCTTTTCAAAAAAAAACTAATATCAATACTGATGTGTAAAACAAATTATTGATATTTACAGATTCACTTTAAAATTGAAAAGCTCTATAACCTGTCTTTAAAGGACATCTAACAATGTTTTCAGCTTTCAAACAAAACATTTGCCACATCACATGAAAAAACACACCCCTTACTACTTGRATTAAAAATAAGATATCAGCAGGAAAAAGTCATAGATGGGTCAAAAAAAAATACACCACTTCAGCGGTGTATATGTATATTTCACTCAGTTGCATGCTAAAGTAGTAATAGAAATCCTGATCAAAAATGCATTACACATGTATGCCATAATAATCAATCACTGCTGAGACAGAGGCTCAGAATTTAACCTCTCTTAAAAAATAATGAATCTGCTGACAGCAATATTTATAAAAAACAAACGTATAAAGACAAACTGAAATTCACCTATAAGAGAGGAGAAAAGCTGTCCAGTTAAGAACTGTGTGTTCTTTGTACCTCAAAAGAATTAACTGCAGAGAAAAATTTGGTTACCTTGGATCGTCTTTTCCTAGTAGCCCCAAAATTCTTAAAAGTTGAATTTGTAACCACGGAGCTGGCACACTGTGATAATTGAAGTCAACAGGGAGCTTTCCTCCCACTACCTGCTTCAGGATGGTTACGAAACTCCCTGTCAAGTCCTTGTATCCAGATGAGTTTTCCTGTATAATGGAAAAGAAATACAATTCAAACATTTTAATACGGTGCTTCAAAAGTACARAGTAAGACTACAAATCAAATACAGTCAAAATAGCTACAGTGACCAACTGCTTCATGGTCAAACGCTCTCATCCCTCAAACCTGTAATGTAAGCTCTTCACTTTAAGCCAAGGCTATTTACTTGCACTTTTCCAAGGACAGTGAATGTCACTTGAAGGCAAAGGTAATGAGTTCACATGGAAATTTCAGCATATTCTTTAACATACTACATGAATTGAATTTTGGTTTGCAGTAAAAATACCAATAAGCATTTTGATTGAGCAACATGTGGACCTCTGCCTGAAGATAAAAAAGAGCTGGATAACCATTGAAAATAGCAAAGATTTCCATGATCACATAACTCAGCTTTTCTGAAGATTATGGATCTATAAAACTTCCGATAAAGGTTCCCATATTTATGGYAGACATATAATCAGCCTGTGAGTTCTATTTGTTTCTGATTCTTTGCCTACCTTAATCATTTGAAGATAAATATGCAAAGAAGCAGCCATGACTCCAACATCCCTGTCACACAGGGCTTTTCGGAACTTATCATGAATGTGCTGGACTTGGTTGGGAGCAATGAGATAGAATTTATACAAAGCCTGAACAGCTTTTCTTCGTATTATTTCCCTGAAGAAAAATTTACACAAAACAATCAAGCTGCTTTCATGTTTTAAGTAYCTGACTTAGCAAAAACAATTGTGTTTCTCATTTCCACAGCACAGAAATATTATGTAATCATGATGTTCTCAAGACTGACAGAAAGATCGAGTACTCATGTTTTACAGACAAGGATTTGAGACCAAATGACTTTCTTCTAATGTATTTAAGCTGGTCCTTAAAGACTAAGTAAAGAGGTAACTAAGCAAACTTAAAGAGTTCAGAAGCACCTCAAGATGCATTAAAAAAAAAMCACAAGAACAGACACCAGATAAACTGTGAAACTGGACAGTACAAATCTGCTGCTCAAAACAAAGAAGGAACTGTATARGAGTTAATTACTGAGTCAGTTCATTCTGCATTTTCTTTTAAATTTCTCATCATGAGAATGTTATATTCTGTCTATGAGATACTATTACAACAAATTAAAAGAATGTCTACACGCTACTYAGTCAAGACTGGTAAAAAAATACAGTCTTGAAATAACAATGGAAGAAGAAAAATAGCAGAGAAGGAATTTCTGAAGGTAAGGGCTAAAGACCAGGTCTGAAAATAACATTAGCTACTAAAGCTACGTGCAAGATCAAGTCATTCAATTTTAGAACATGACTTCTGACATTCTTTAAATGAATACATACTTAGAATGCTGCAATTTGTCTTCTATTAGGGGAAGCACAGCTGGAATCATCTCCCGTGGAAAGATCTGGCTGACAACAGTTAACGCCATGCACACCTCTACTAGATTAGTGCTCTGTAAGTCCTATTACAATCATTAAAATAAGATAGTCATTTTTCATTTAAACTTTTAAATTCTCTACCAAACACACCCCAAAACTTAGGTAAGCAGGTTGGACCTAGCACACCTGCCTGCCTAAAAGGTTTGAGCTGCCCTGTACAAAATTTTTATTTCTAATGAACAAAGACATTTCTACTTGTAAAAATAAAATAAAAATAAAATATTCAAATTAACCATTGAAATGTATTAGCTAATACTGTTTGGGTTTGAGAAACTGTACACCTAAAGATATACCTTCTCTTTATGAAAATAAAGAAAATTTGTTTCATTTTCATATTCAGATATATATGTAAAAATTCAGACTAATGTAGGATAAGAGTAATCATTATGTAAAAAGTTAGAAACTATAACTGTTTCATGTAAAAGGCAGTAATAGACAAGATGATGCTGATKAAATATTTATTAAAAATAGATTTTCAGTATCACTCCATAGAATATTTTCTTTTTCCTTCCATCAAAATTATCACCCAAAGAACTCAGAGAAGTCAACAGATACCTGTTGTCAGGTAAAAGCTAAATTTTATATCAGAAAATACATGCAATGCTCCTCCTGGAGTTTAAAATATATACTCCAAAGTATAATTTGGTTCACTTTATAACACATTTCGGTGGTATATTTCCTTTGCAAAATTGTTGCTTATATTGTATCTGTAGAAACATTACCAAATTTAAACAAACAAAACCATGCAAACCATGCAAAACCAAGCAAAGCCATTTTTGAAATGTCACCGCAGACCCCAGAAAGAGTGACTTCAAAACAGCAAGATTTTAGTAATGGGTTCCTAGCTTCAACAACAACAGAGAAAACAGGGGAGAGAATCTGTCCAAGTTTAGTTTACCTCAAGACCTCCAAAAACACTGTACCTTCACAACTGTGTTCACAAGTAGAAGTAGCAGTTCATGATTTTCATGGAGAAATAAAGAAACTGCCAAGTAACCTTAAAAAAAAAAAAAAAAGGAAGATTCCAGTATTACTTTGAAGCAATAAAAAATAAATGTAAAAAGAAAACTTAGGACTATAATACAAGTGGAAATAATTCAAAACATTAAAAAATGTTAGGTGACAATGTCTCTTGCATTTTATATACCAAGTTATTAACTAAATATTTCTTTTTTTCCCTCTARACAAACCAGTACCATTTAAATTGTTATAAAAGCTCCACAAATGACAGCTAGAAATCCCCAATATGTGAGAAATAAAAGACACTATAATGACACTAAAAAATAGCTGAGGACAACATAAGAAATCCCTTCCCGGAAAATTAATGTTCTCTCAGCAAGACAAGAACACATTTCTTCTAGAYCAGATAACTCACTTCCTTCTATCCATCTTTTTTCAAGAAATAAAGTTCAATTTCAAATACACTACTGTATTCCAAGTTAAGTACTAAAAGTAAATTCACCATCCTATRTCTGACACTCCTTATTTATTAGCTCTAGCTATTTGGAATAAAGAACAACTCTAGAACCCCAGAAAAGATTCTTGCCAGAATTTTTTTCCTTAGGAAACATTATTTCTTTTCTTATAAACTAATSCACTTAAAGGCACATAATTGCCCCCACACATCAGAAATACAGCATAACAGCACTTCTACCAGGGAATTTGATTGCAATCAGAAAGGCATGGCTCATTCTAAACATACAGATCTAAATGTGCAACTTAGACACAAGCAACYATATTTTCCAGATTATTAAACTAGCCTATCTGACCATGGAACATTATCATGTATTTTATCAGTTCAGCACACCTTTAAAATTGCAGTTCACTCATTTTGTATATCTCATCCAAAACAAAGTTTTCCTTATGCATCACACAAGAACAAATAATCAAATACCCCTGCTATAAAACCAGCCCCTAGGATGAAAAGCACTCAAAGTGATTAATTGCAAGACATAAAGCATCTTGACATTTACAAAGGCCATATATAAGTTTTCTGCAAAACAGCTTACCATCTGCCCTCCTAGGTTTGATGCAGATAGACTTAAGCCCTACCAGAATGTCTGCAGACTGGCTTGTATTACTCAGGGAAAAATGCATCTTTAGATCATCATTGTGACAGACTTTCTTAGAAATTCCAATATTTGAGTGGATGATCCACATAAAATTCAAACAAAGGATATCAAATAAGCATATCCCGCAAGACATTGCCTTCCTTCTGTGTATGCAGATACAGTATTGCTTGGAGTTAAATCATTTTCTCTGCAAACAAGAAGAAATGTCTTCACTAGGCAGCTGAACCAGCAACTACAAGGAATTTTTCCAGACAAGACTGGCTGACAGCTTCTTCAAACAAAGTCTACTGGAAAACCTAATATAGCCACACTAGGCARGCAAGGAAATTTCTATGCTAAGGTATTTTAAATAAATTTGAAATAGCCTGTTAGATTTCCACAAGAACTTCTGTACCTGTGCTCTAAACATCTCCCAATTGGCTTCATTCCTTACTACTGCTTCTAAACCAAAAAATCCTATAATCACCAAAACAGACAAAAAGAGTTTTGAAAGCCACTTTGCCTATAGCAATAAGATTTTTATAAAAGTTATAAACTACTACCCATAAGTTAAATAGCATTTAATAGACCAATGCTATTTAACAGACCAGAGGAAAAAAAAACAACTCTATGTACAAGAAAATAATTTGTCTTACTATAACATTTTTGTCTAATCTTGTATTACACTACCTTCTAAAAACATCTTTAAGAATATTACTAAGCTGCAGAGCAATTCACATACCAACTCTTTTTTCCAGAAGATTTCCCTGTTGTGCTAGCTTGATTGCATGGATGTATCCAAAGGAAGACTCATATCCCAGCATTTCACAATAGATGAGTCTCACCATACATTCCTTCATCATTCGCTGAAATACAAGAAATGAAGTATTGAGGATTTTAGATTAATTATGTTTTATGTTGTTCTTCACTGCTCTAAAGGAGTATACAAAGTTAACAGAAACACATGTACGTATATATATACGCATACATTTTCTAAAATCAGAGGAGTATTATTTTTTCTCTGCGGTGAACCAGCATTGATTTTGACCACAATGGAAGAAATCCCAACATACTATCCTTAAATGTTTTCTAATTATACTTATYATGTGAACAGCATCAAATCTATTATAATCATCACAAAAAATATTACTGATCTTAAGGAGTAGATGATCAGTGTTAATGCAAATTACCTCATAACAATTGCTGCACTCACGTAGGATGGGTTATTACTATGTTTGAGAAGGCAAGCTCTATTTTTCTTTCAAAGTTTCTCACTCACGTGGCTGAGTTTTATACTAACTACTCCCAAAACAGAAGTCTGCACTCATACAGCTCAGACATGACTGACAGTATACATGACCAAACACAGCCTCTTAAACAGAAGAAAGTAGTGACAGAAACAATGCCAGTGATCAGAGTGAAGCTGTTTTTTTCTTTCATCTACATTACATCAGAGACTGCAAAATATCTAGACTGTGGGCACCCTACAACTATGGTTTATACATATGAGCAAGAACCACTGTTCTCAACAGTGGTTGCGAGGTTCAACCTTGCGGAASGAGGTGCACTGCCCTCCTCGTGTTTGCCTGCTGTCCCTGCAGCCCATAAGCAGCAACAGAACTTACGAGCGATGTGGCAGGGGCAGAAACTGTGGCTTTCAAACTGGTTAGTTCCTGCTGGATTAGTTTTTCTTCTTCCTATAAAAGATTGGGTTTTTTTTAAGTAAATAATTTGTGGAGATGAAATGCAAAGTATAAGCCAATAAAACGTTTATTTTTATAACATCCCCCATTCCTCTCAGAATTTTACACCCGCTGTTCTCGCAGGGGTCTTTCAGCGSCCGCACAGCGCACGGCGCCGCTCCGCACTGCTCTGGGCTAGCGCAGCRCCAACACCAGGGCCCACCGGGCCCAGAGCCCCCGAAGGCGCCGCCTCCCTCCGCGGGCCCAGGCTGCGCTCCGCGCCGGCAGCGCGCGGGCTCCGGGGACGACGAGCCCCGAGCCGAGGCCCCGCTCGCGCCCGCCCTCCCTCCCTGCCGCGGCCCCTACATGCTTGGAGGTGAGCGCCGTGATGCTGC